TTTCTCGTGACGAGGCCGTGCGGCCGTCACGGCCCGCCGCCGGCAACAAGGCGCACTGTCAGGTGTTGCTGCAGTATGACAAGGCGCTGGATTAATGCCTCCTTCGAACGAAAAAGGGGGTCGGTCCGGTCGCCTCTCCAGCCCCGCCCCCGGCCCCGCCAGCCCGCCCGGTCGCTCCGTAGAAGACGCGGCGAGGGACGTTGTTGTTGGTCACCCCGAGCCCGCGATCAGACCAGCAGATCGCTGTAGAAGAGGGCTCCCTTATGGATTTGCACTACTACCTCTGGTGTGGGCGCTGTGGCTGTGCCCCGTTGGAGAAAAATTACTGCTGCCGGAACGGGCGAGGGCCACTTTGCCCGTCGTCTCTGGACGTATGGCGCTTTAGAGCCCCGTGAGAGTACGCAACCCGTCCGCACGCCTGCATTCGGGATTGTATGCGTACATGCTCCAACGGAGCACAGAGGCAATACCTCGTATACAGATATGCCCATGCTTCCCGATTTCAGCAGCCGGGGGCGGTGCGGTGCAGTGTGGTTGAATAACGTTTATTTTTTGAGCGCGACGGGACGCGACGACGCGGCCGCTACGCTCGCTCTCAGGGAACGCCCCAACCGCGCCCTGTCGCCTTGCGCCGCCGCCCCGCCCCGCCCCGCCCCACCGCGCCGTAAGCCGTAAGAGCGGCCAGTTGTCTTTAATAGACATTAGCGTTTGATAAGTGCCGCTAGAGGGAGCCACCGCGGTGGCGGGCCGGGGCCGCCTTAGGGCCGCCTGCGTGAGGTCGTCACGGGCCGCTGCCGTCAACAACACACTGTCAGGTGCGAGGGGAAAAAAGTGTCGCCCGGCAGGCCCGCGGGTCGGCTCCACTCCGCGGTGGCGGCAGCGGCAGCGTTAGCGGCAAAGCTCGGGCCACGCCGCTGAGTGGCCGCGGCGGGGCGGGGCGGGGAGGACCCGCAGAGAGGAAGGAAGGGCCGTGGGAGCCGCGGCGGCAGAGCGGCGGACAGGGAGGCCGCCGAGGCCGGGGGTGGTCGGCTCGGCGTGGGTCGACGCGGGGTGGCCGCGGTAGACGGCGCCACGTGCAGCTCGCGCTGTTGCTGCAGAGACCGCGAGAGGTCAGCAAAGCCTCGGCAGCAGCAGTCGTTGCATTTGACCCCACCCCAATGCCACCCCCGTGCTCGTCCCCAGCACTCCACCCGGGTGGCGTTCCGTTCCGATGGCTGGACCGACACCTGTCCCTCAATGTCGCCCCTCTCCCACCTCCTCTGCCCCCCCTTAGGTTTGACGCTTCCCCGGCACCCCCATATACTTTCTCTCTTCACTTGGTCTACTCTAAGCCCAAGCGCACAGAATCATACTCTATCTGCTGAGGGCTGCGGGTCGAACTTTTGTTGTGCTTTCGAAGGGCCAGGCCAGGAGGGCCTGCTGCGCCGTGTTCTCCCGAGGACACACCGTCGTGACGTGTAATGACCGCATCACCGCAAGTCTAAACAGTCGCAGGGCTTAACCGCACCCCCCGGTCGCCCGGCCGAGCCAAGAAGGGCCGCGCTGACCTTTAGGGAGAGAAGAAAAAGATGCTCTGAATGGGCCATTATTGGCGCCCGCATGAGGGGCGTAATGAAGATGGCCCTCTCTCCCCCCGGTGTGTGCGGGCCCGTGCGCCCGCCCCGCCCCGCCGCACCACGCCCTCACGGACGACACTACTCACTCGCGCGCGCGTCGTTCATGTATTATTCAATGTTCCGATAACTTGCGGCACGTGGCCGTGCCGTGCCCTGCGCGCAGTGACTCACATCTATGTCTCCAGCAGTCCGCGTCGCGTTATCACTTCACTTCGCCCGCCACCGCGCGGCCTATGCCTGGCGCCTCACCCGCTCCACCCCGCCCCGCCTCACCCCGCCACTTGCTGCGCGGCCGCGCTTGGCGGGCCGTTGACCCGGAGGAGCAAGAGCGCCACCGCGGCCGCGGCCAACAACTGCATCCGCGACGTTATTTCCGAACGGCGGCGGTGGCGTTGGCGATCTGCTTCACGACGACGACGTGGTCGAGGGAGCGTCGCGCAGGCGGGCGGGCGGGGCGGCGTCGGGGATGTGGTCACTTTGGGGATAACTTCATCACCGGCCAGACGCCGCCCCGCCCTGGAAGTCATCACGGGCGACACCTAGCGACGACTCCCTCGAGAGGGGACGCGTCGCGTCGCGGCCACCGAGCAGGGGGACGCGTCGAGCGAGGGGACGGACGGCAGCGCCGGCGGTAATCGAGGAAATAAATAATAAGCGAGAGCAGAGATGCGGTGCAGACCTCTGCTGCGCGCACCTGTGTTACCGTACGGCCGGGGGGGCCTGTGCTCCTGCAGAGGTGTGCAGGCACCGTGTCGACCGGGCGACTCGAAACGCCACGCTCCGCCGACTGACAAGGTTGAGCCGGCCGTACTACTACTGCAAGGGCCGCGGCAGCAGCAGGGCGCAGCGCGCAGCGCAGCAGAGGGCCCGCCAGGCTGGCCGCCAGGCTGCTATGGCTGGAACGAGTCCAGGCCCCCGTCTGCTGTGCTGGGCTGCAGGCATTTACAGTTTTATGTGTGCGACCCCACCGCCCCCGCCGCCTCCGCCGCCGCCAAATGCGAATAGACGGCGTCGTTTGGCGACGCGCGCCCCCCGCTTGACTGGGAGCGGTACTGCGACACGAGCTTAGGGTACATAACTGAAGCGCCGCCGGGACGCCGAGGGGGCCGCCGGGGCCGTCCACCAACTAGATGATTCTGAATTCTTTGTCCGGAAAAACTGGAAGAAAAACAACTGGAATATTTCCGTAAAATTCCAAAAAAAGTAAATTTTTTGGAGAAAATAAATTCCAACCGTTTGAAAAAGAATTCTTGAAAATACTTTTCCCTAGCACCAACACAACGGTGAACACACGTCATACGTCAAGCCAAACGCACCGCACCGCGGAGCTTGGAGTGGTTTTCGGGGGGCGCGAGTGCCCAAGTGTGTTTGACGGGGCTCACAATGTGCGGTAGGCAGGTCAGTGAGTGGCGGGAATGACTCGGCGAGACACACTCATACAGACGTACCCACACTGCTGGCTGCAAACCGAGCGCCACAACCTCGAGGACAACCGGGGCGGGGGCGACCTGAGGCTGAGGGTCCGACATGAGCATCGCGGTAGGGGTAGTGGAAAGCCTGTCCTGGTACAGACTTTCTCCGGGGCGCAACCCCCGCGCGGCGCCTGCACCCGACCAGGTCGGAGCAGCAGGCCCGATAGTGCAACCAGAGTCAGGTCGTGCGCGGGGGCCGCGGCGGGCACCGCGGCAGGGGTTCACCTAACTCACCACACGGCGGCTGGTCCACGCTACAGAGGTGCCCGGGCGAGCTGTCCGGTAGCCGCGCGCACGTGAAGTGCCCGGGTGAGTGAGTAGTGTGAGTGGTGTGTGAGTGACAGGGGCCGGGCCGCCCGCCGCGCCGGGGAGCGCCGATGACAAGACCTCCCCTGGACCATGAGAGCGGCCGCGGCCCGCGGTACCCACCACCGTGTGATTCGTCACATTATGCCGCCGCCCACCCCGCCACGCCCCGCCGCCACTACTTATAGAAATACCAAAGTTACCCGCGGGCCGGGTAAAAAACGCCGAGCGACGCGGCGGTCCCGTCCCGTCCCGCCCCGCGGAGGCTGTGCCGGGCCTCCCCGCGCCCAGTGCAGGAGGAGGAGCAGGAGGAGGAAGATGGACGGAACGAATACCATTACGCGTAAGGGCAGCAATGCCGATAGTGGATCGCACCGCGCCCCGCCACGCCCCGCCACGCCCCGCTGACGTGGGTGGCACCCTGGGAGTTGTGTTGTCCGTCCGCCCGTCCCGCTCCGATCCGCCCCGTGTGTCCCGTCTGCTCCCCGCGTCGCCGTGAGAACCTGGGCCGTGAGCGCCCGGCTGGCCCGGGGGTCCCGGGGGTGTCCCCCGCACCGGTCCGCGCCGCCGACCTCCCGGGCGCGGTGGACACGGCCTCGTGGACCACTCGCGGCGGAGAGCCCGCCCAGGCCCGAGGAGTGGACCCCGGCGATAAACAATTGAATGATCGTTCTGTAACGCCGCCACGAGCCTCCTCCCCTGAGAGCGCGCGTGTAGCGTGTGCGAGGGGCCACACCCCTTTCCCACTGGGGAGCACCGGTGTGACGTCACCCACCACAGTCATTCGATGCAAATCCGGCGGCGGGCCCGACCCGCACTGCGGCGGCCCAGCCCGGCGCGGGGCCGGCCGGCGGCG